CTGTAACTGGCATTGGCTGTGACTTTGGCTTCCCCATGGCTCATCAGACACCCACCCTGTGATGTGCTCACCTAGAGGCTTTGGGTCAAGATGGCAGGATCCCTTGCTCTGGGCAGCCCTCCAGGCTCCTCTATCAGAGGAATTCAAGACCTGTGAATTCTACCTGTTGCATGTTTAAAGGCCAAAGGAGTAGATTTACGATTCAGTGGTCTGACCTGTTCTGCAAGAGAGACCAGAACTTGTCCTTGTCTGATTCTTTTGTCAGGTGCAGCAACTCTGGGTGCACTCAGGTGTGTAGTTCCCAAAGACATGGGTGCTGCAGGGTCTTGGCTCTGCTGGCAGGTAGGAGAGGTCTCTACGAGGCTTCCCTCTGTTCCTAGCTGGGATGTTTGGAGCAATCCTTTGAGTGAGGGTGCTCCTGGAGTGCCTGGGCCTGCACGGGGTGGCACAAGTGGTGTTTGTTTACACAAGGGATCACGGACGCTGCCTGGGCTGGTCCCAGTGACTGAGTGCTCAAACCTCTCTAACACATGGTACCTCCGAGCAAACAGGAGGTGGTTATAGTTGCTATAAATTCCCACAGGCAGGAAACACACTGGGTTTGGAGGAATGAAGTATAAATTCACTGAGTTGCCTTTCTTAAAAGCTGCAGGGATGTCAGCATGATGCCAGTTATGCTTTCCAGTGGGCTGATCTCCCTGAAGCCCAGCACCCTGCAGGACTTGTGACCATGTTCAGGGGTGCACTCCCACCCATTCCTGCCATTCCCTCTGCAGTCAGAGCCCCTCCACAGCTGAGCTCACAACGCAGCACTTGGAATTCTTGACTCAAGCCAAGGCGTGTGCTGGTTGGCACAGTGTGCTGTGTCCTTGGGATCCACACCCAGTGCACCCTCCTGGAACACAGTTAATCCTCTCCTTCTTATCTCGCCTGTGTAACGGTTGGAGCATCTCTGCTGTCACCTTGCTTCCCCTTCCCCTGGCCACCTGCAGGAGGTGACTGCCTTTGGGCGCTGTGCCTTGGATAGGAATAGGTCTGTGCCAGCTCCCGCCAAGAGCCATCCCCTTCTCTGCGTGGTGAGCACAGTACAGTACATCCCTGGACCTGCAAGGAAAAGCTCCTGGTGACTTTCATCAGGAAACAAGCTGGGCACTGCCACAGGACCAGGGAAGCGGGGAAACACAGGGCAGGGCTGGCTCATCCGCGCAGGCACGCTGGGTTTTGGCCTGTGCTGAAATGGGCTGTTCCTGCTGAGCATGGAGGAGGAGGAGGAAGGAACAATGCTGGATGAAAAGCCCTGGTGAGCTGGGCTTGGCACAGGGGTGGAAGGAGGAAGGGAGCAGTGCTGGCTGCTCCCAGGAGGAGCCACAGGAGCAGTCACTGTGTGTCACCTGCTTTTTGGCAGCTGCAGCCGGCTTGACCATCAAGTTTAGCAAAAAAGGCCGAGCAGGCAAAGGTGGTTTGTTTTGCCACCAGGAACTGCTTGATGCTGTAGACAACTGCCTTACTGGTCTCTGTCATGCAGAGACTGGCAAGGCTTGGTCTGGGGGAGCTTCAAATTTGGGGAGCAGATCCCTTGGAGTGCTGTCCTGGGTGAGATGATGCAGTTTGTTGCATGATGGCTCTGATAATCGGACCAAGCTTCAGTATCTTGTGGGCTTTGCATCCCATCCAAACAAGGCAGTCTCAGACCCTGGCTGACATTGAGCAGAGGGGGCTGCTACTGCTCTCCACTTGCCCCAGGAACCCAGAGATGTCCTGGCATTGCCTGGCAGGCCAGTGGGTGGAAGGAAGGACTTGTTTCCCCATCTTGATTCCTTATGTCTGAGATTTCTTTCACAGAGCCTTTCACCCAGAGGTGAAGTCACTCACCATGGCCACCTTTAACAGCTGCTTCTCTGCATTGTGGGTCGTAAATGTCCCCTTAATTTAGTGCCTGCAGTGCACTAAAGCAGCAACCTTAGCACAGCCTCTGCATAATGACTGGAGAGGCTCTAGATCCTGAGCCCTGACTCGCAGACGCTCTCCTTGACTGCTGTAGTCCCAGTGGCTGATGTCTCCTTTATCTTGGGTGCCACAAACTTCTCCCCACTTGCTTTTGAAAGATAAATCCCTGCAAAATAGAAAGATTTAGTCTAGTCCAGCTGGGCAGGTCAGTCCAGGCAGTAATGCACTCACATCCTTAATGTTTCAATTCTTTTGGCTAAACTTCCTGGTGAAAGGTGGTTTTTTTACTCCTTCACAAAAAAAGAGTAACAGCTCTGACCTTGAGGAGAGAAATTATGAGGGTTCAGAGTTCTGTTTCCTTTTTTGTTGCTGTTTTTCTTGCAAAATATTCCAGTTGAGAGGGATTTTTTTGCTTAAACAATTTGTACCCAGTGGATAGATTTATTCCATTCAGCTGCCAACCACAAGAAAGCCCTGCTATTCCCTGTGGCTTTTTTTTTTTCCCCCCTCTCAATACTCATAAATACTCATGCTAAATCTGAGTTTCTTCTACTTGCAAACATGAGGGACCAGGTACTCCTGACCTGTTTCTGATGCTGGAGGAATCATGACCTGCCTCCTTCTCTGTCATGACCCTGTGTAACTTGAGCGGTGCTCAGGACCTGTTCTTAAATATTCCTTCTATCTCCCCATGCCTAATTCCATTCCACTCCTTGTTATTTCAACTCTTGGGGATAAAGGATGTGTAAAAATTTGCTTTTTTGAATGTTCTGGAACCAAGAGGTGCTTTGGAGGTAGCACTTCCAAATCCCACCTGGCTGCTACTTCTCATGCCTTTGCTCCCAGCCAACACCCTGCTGTCCTGGCTTTTAGCAGGACTGGGCAAAAAATTGATTTCCTGGTTTAGCATCATTCCTTCAAGGGAGAAGGGGAAAATGTGGAGATTTGGGTTGAAATTATTTGAGTGAATGTGGCAGAAACGCAAAGTGAGCATTTGGGCTTGACAGCAGAGTTGGTTTAGGCTGGATAGAAAAGAATTGAGGAGACTCTTAAAATGACAAGTGGGCTTGGAGGGGAAGAAAAAGGAAATGTTTCTTTTAAACACATAAAAACTGACCTGCTTTGATGCTGACTGATCACATAATACTCTTTTGTGTCTGTTCCATGTGACAAGGCCAGTTTGCCAGGCTGGGATCGCTGCTGGTGAGCCTGGCAGTGGTAGCTCCTCACACCCTGGCCTGCCTCAGTTTACCTTCACAGAATCACAGAATCTTTCAGGTCGGAAGGGACTTTCAACACCATCTTGTTCCAACCTTGTGCTATGAGGGTTGGAACTTCCACTAGCCCAGATTGCTCCAAGCCCCATCCAAACTTGCCTTGAATACTTCCAGGGATGGGGCAGCCACAGCTTCTCTGGGCAACCTGTGCTGATGCCTCCACAGGGAAGAATTCCTTCCCAATATATAATCTAATCTTCCCTTGTCTGAAGTTTATCCATGAGGTTTGGGGCTCTCCAGCTACCTCATCTCACCCTTTGCCAGGGTAGGCTAGTGCAGGGGACCCACGTGGTGCTGCAGCACCTTCCTTGCTCAAGAGATTTAGTTGAGGTCTGGGCTGAGATCTCCAAACTCATTGCAGTGGTGAGTCTGAGTCAGAGCCTCCCTCCCCTGACAGTCAGCTCTGTCTCTTTATGCTTTTAATTTCTTTGGAGCTCAGATTTTCGGCATCTTCACCTCTCTGCTAGCGCAATGTTTTAGGAACAGATGGGCTTAATTTCCGATTGCCGCCCCCTGAACTTGGGAGGAGGTTTGAGTTTGGAGCCAGTCTGCCTCTTGTTCCATGTGAGTCCATCCGGCAGGCTCCTGCCTGCCCTGCCCCTGCAGACACAGAGCCAAGGACCCGGCAAATACGGCTCTTTGTGATGAGGAAGGTCCTCAGAAGTAAGATTTTCTCTCTCAGTGGATAAATCTGTCTCCATGTTACCTTAGCAGTGGAAACGGCTGAGCATCTTCTTACGGGCTGATACTGTTGAGATGCTTAGTCTAAGCTCCATCTAATCCTCTTTCAGTGAGCAATCGGGCTTGTGATCTCACACAAACAGGTTTTCTGACTCCAGCCTCGGCATTTTGTGGTTTGTGATCATAGTGGAAGAGTGATGCTCCTGCTGCATCTCTGTGCTGCTGCCCCTGAGCTGAACTAGAGGTGAAAGGGAAATGAAAATGAACCTACAAGTTTCTACCCTGAACTCTGTACCTGACTGTTGGATTTGGGGTCTAGGTGTCAACTCCTGCTTTCATAAGGCTTTGTGGCACGAGATTTCCTTACGCAGCTTCCTGTGGATCATAAACCAGATTTTTACAACTGTGATTTTGTGTTGGATTAAAGTTTTGGGGTGGTTTTTTTTGAGAGCACACTCCTGAATCTGGCCTGCTTTTCTTCTGCCAGCGTGGCCTAAGAGTCCTATCATTCTGTGGGAATCAATAACAAATGTAAAGCACGTTTAAAATATTTCCATTCCTTTCCTGTGTGTTGAGGCCCCAAACTGAAGGCAGAAATTAGAGCTGCTGGACTTTGCTTGTGCTTGAAAACTCTTAGACTGTGAGCTTGGCAATCAGAACCTGATTCCTGCTTGCTGTAAGTGGGAGCCTTGTGTGCATGTTTCAGCAGGCTCATTGCCCTCCAGCATCACATTGTGACCTTGGGACCTGTGTGTGGGGATGGAGTTATCTGGCTGTGGTCCTGGCACAAGGCAGTGGCGGGGCCGAGCACCCAGGACCATTCTCCTCAGGGCATGGGAGGAAGGCTATGGGATTCGCTGTCAGTAAGATCTGATGACCCCCAAGCTGGTTCCCAGCTGGTGGTTGGACCTCATCCCTGGGATCTGTTTTTGACCAGCTCTGGGATGAACATCACAGTCCGTTCTGCCATGGGGTGGGCTGGCTGCAATGATCAGTGGCCATGGGTGAGAGCGAGCAGTCCTTTCTGGAGATGATCTCCAGTGGGGCAAGTCACTCAGCACCTCTTCACCCTGTCCCTCTCCTCCTGTCTTGCAGGGCTGTGTGTCTGAGGCTGAGCCAGGTGCCCCCCTGCTCCGTGCCGGGTCCCATGAGACAGGCAGGGCCACCCTGTCCTTCCCTCCCGGGGCCACAGCACCCCCCTCTGCCCCCGCTGCACGGGACGCCTCTCCAGCACCCCAAACGAAGCTGCAGAGCTCTGCTGCCACGGTAAGTCCCTGCCCTTGGGCTTTCCTTTCCCAAAACACTGCTCTGGAGAAGGGCACGCTCCAGGTTTGTGTTCCCATCAGCTCCACGTGCATCCCTGGCTGCAGTGGGGTCACAGCATGGGGTCCACACGCAGCCTCTGAAGGAACGGTTATGTACCAAAAAATTCAGGTTTCAGTCAACAGACTCAGCTCACAAATTCAGGTTGTATTTAGCAAGTGGCTTTGGCTGGGGAAAAAAAAAAAAAAGTGAAACACTGAAAAGTTTGATTTTTTTTTTTTTTTGACATTTTCAAAATGAAACCTTTCAGCCATCTGTTTCGAGATGACATTTCAGTTTGAATTTTTTCTAGGGTTTTTTTTTTTTTTTCAGCGTGGGGGGGGAAGCCACCTACAAACAAAATTAAAGCTTCACTTCAGCCCAAACAAAATGTTTCATTCAGCCCCAGATTATTACTGGGGCTTTAAAATTTGGCAAAGAAAAAAAAAAAAGTGCTTTGGTCATCCTGCATTACTTTCTTTTCTCAGTTTGGCCCCCAAAACAAAAGACAAGCATGTGGGAGCTGTGGGGCACATACTACACAGTGCTGGGGGGGTTTTGAGTGGGAGCTTGGGAAGAGCTTGTGGCACCAGAACATGTTGTACCAATGACTTTGGTGATGGTAGGAGACTGTGGGAACTAATTTTAGCTATGCCAGAAAGCTTATGCTGGAGAGGAGAGTGTGCTGTGCTGAGCCCACCTGGCTCCTCCCAGGGCTGTGGTGATGGCCACTGGTGTCCAGACGTGCTGCTGGGTGCCAGAGGTGCATGGCAGCTCTCACATTTTCTCCCTGAACAGCGGCATCTGTGCCCATTATCTGTTTTCTCCATCTGGTGTTTGAGAAAGTCCACCTTGAGGAGATAAATGTGATACTGAAGGGAGCTTCTGGTCTGCCCAGAAGGGTTTTCAGCTCTCTTTGCACAAGAGAAACCACTCTGGGGAGGGAGAAGGGCAAGGGGAAGGACTGGGGAAACAACGAATAAGCGTGGTTGGTTTGTGTGGCCAGAGCACGAAGGGATGAGTTCAGATGTGCCGTCTTGGTTTGGGGTCAGGTGTAGTGGAGTTCTGGGAATGAGGGAGAATCCCACCTCCCTGGAGCAGCACGACTTGCAGAAGAGCAGCAGTGGGGCAGTGTGAGGGGCACAAGCTGACAGTGCCTTGTAGTGAACAAGGCCCTCCTCTGGGGCTGCAGAAGCAGCTGCATAGGCTCCTCTTGGCTCCTTAACAGCAAAGAGGAGATGATCTGACCATACTTGCCAAATCCTATCGCTGTGAGCACCTGGGCAGCCCTTCCACCACCCAGCTCAGCTGAAACTACCTAATTAGAGAAAGAAGCTGTGCTTTTCATTTACTACACCCTCTTCACCCCCAGTCCTATCCCAGATGTGACCTTATCAAGTCACTCAGAACTGCTGCATGTGGAGGCATGTGTTGAAAGGGAGATGTGTCTGGTGGGGGGCTGCTGGACTCCCTGGCATGGGGCTGTGCCTGCCCTGTGATGCTTCATGCCCTTTGTCATAGTAGGAGAACCCCCAAATCATGCCCTAAACAATCTGTGCAGCAACACGGGGGGCTGCAGGGAGGCATCCTCTACCAATTTCCAACCTGCTGCTGGCACATCCTGGCTCCCTGCAGCATGGGCGTGCAGGACTCCCACTCCAGCAGGAAGGCTTCAAACACAGCATTCCAGGCAGGTGTCTGGGAATGTGGTGGGACAGCAGGTGTTTGATATCTGCTCTCCTGTGCTCCCATGCTTCTGTCAGCACTAGCTCCCCGCTGAAGTGTTGTAGGGCTGCTGCCTTTGTTGCAGAGGAAAAAATCAGCTGTTCAGAGGTACGTGAGATCAGGAGGGAGGAGGGGTTGCTGCAGATCTGAAATAGATGTCTGCCCTTGTTTGGAGGGGAGATAGTTGTGCCCAAACCTCTGTTGGCTGTTTTACAGGTGGCCATGACTGGTAATGCTAGAGAGGGTGTCAGGACCTTGTCCCTGTGGCTTTATCCCACAGGGAATCCCTCCAGCCTGGTGTGGGAGGGTCTGTCCTCAGGCCCTTACTGGAAGCCCCAAAGCCTCCTGAATCATGTACTTCTGGGTTTGCATTTAGTATTCCCATTTTCCATTCTCTTTCTCTGTTTTCATTTCTCCCCCTCTTGCCCCCTCCCTCCATCTTTATCAGTAGCTAATGAAACAGGCAGGGAGAAACCCAATTCATACAGTAATTAAATTTACTTAGTGGGTATTCAGCTGGAGTAATGAGAAGTTTAATTCAATGATTAGTTTTTTCTTTCATTAATTAAAAATGGAACAACGGTGCAGTTACAGTGAGCTGCATTGAATCCTCCTCATGGAAAGCTGCTGATGGAGGAGGAGGAGGAAGGAAAGCTTCTGGTTTTATCTTTTCTGAGTGCTCTCCCCACACACAGATGCCCTGTTCCCAGTTGACCCCTTGCCCAGGTGTCCCTGAGTGACTCTGGGTAAGGGATGCTCGTGGCAAGGATGGAGGAGAGCGGTGCCAGAGCCCCCCACCCAGGTCCTCTCCCCAATCTGTCCCCAGCAGCAGGCTTTCAGTTTAAAAAGGGATTTGAAATCCTTGCTGTAGGTGGAGGATTGAAAAGCAGGTCCCAGCCCACAAGAAGTTTTCGGTGGGAGAGTTGTTTTCCTTCCTTGCTGAACAGATTTTGATCCATTTAAATATGTTAAACTCATAAACATGTTTTTAGTCTTTTAAAATACGTGATGTGTGAAATCAAAAAGTAAACCAGATAAGTAATTTCCCATTTTTTCGATGCTTTCTGCAGGCTCTTGAGCAATGTTAAGACTTCAAATATCATTTGAAGCATGATTGGGCAGGTTCTGTTCCCCTAAAGCAGAGGCATTGGTGTGCTCCTAGTTTTGACACAGGTTTATTTTGGGTAGCTTTGGGGATCACTGTAAGATCTGCTAATGTATGAGTGAATAAGGGGGTGTAGTAAATAACAGGAATAAACCACCCCCCTAAAAAAAAGAAATGAACCATTAATTGGTGTTATAGATCCTGTCTCTGCAGGGTTACATGCAAGAGGGTGGTCACTCCTTACCTGTGCCCTCTCTGTCCCATGTGCCTGCCAAGTCATTGGCTTCTCTGCTGCTGCTGTGAGTACCCTGTGATGGTGAGAATTAGCCAAGGGCTGGGGCAGAGAGCACCTGGCTTTGAAGACAATGAGTGCCAAGGGCACTCAACACCTCTGGAAATGAGATGCTTTTGCTTTTCTTGTGTTATCTTGGGTGATAAATGCTTCAGTAAAGCTAGTGGGCAGGCAGGAGACTCCTGGCCAGTCCAAAGCTGTGTCCCTGTGCTGGGAAGGGCAGACAGTCCCATGAGGGACTGGAGCTCCTCCAGCAGTGTCCATGCCTCCTGAGGCTCCTCTGTGCCCCTGGCTTGTGGAGCTACTCAGGTTTCAGAGAAATTACTCTTTATTCTCAGAAAGGAGGAATACATCCCCCTGCTTTGTCCTTATCTCCTGAAACAGTAAAAATTGTGATGGGAAATGGTTTCTGGCAGGAGAGGAGGTGACTGAGGGTGGGTTCTTTCCACACCTGGCAGGAGAGCTGCAGCTGTGGTACCTGTGCTCACCCCTTTCCAGCACGTACCTTGGCTGTGGCAGCAGTGGGGAGGTGAGCCCGAGGTCAGGATGTGGTCAGTTTGGGCTCTCTGGTGCTGGCAGCCTGTGCACCCCTTGGCTGGACCAGAGCTCCTGGCACCTCTCAAGGCCCAGCTTGTTGTCCCCAGGGGGTTGTGACAGTGCTTTGCTCTGAGCAGTGTTTTGGGCTGCCACTGGCTGTAGCACAGCATCTCCAAATCCCAGAACACCTATGGGAGAACCCTCAAAAACCCCTCAAAATCTGTGGGATGCAGTGTCGCCCAGTCAGAGCCTCGTGCCTCATTGCTGGGGTCCTGAGCCATGAGACCCTTTTGCAGCTCTCCATTTTGGTGATGTTTTGCACTTCCTATCCTGTGTGAAGCATTTGGTTGGGATACAGGGATGCAGCCAGGGACTGAGCTGCCTGGGGAGACTTGTGGAGGGCAGTGCAAGCCTGTGTTGGCCAGTGAGTGCTGTCTGACCTCGTAGGCAGCTACAGCACTGTCTTAAAACAGTGTTTTTTCCAAGGGGTTTTGCATGCATGTGCTTCTTGAGAGATCACTGCAAACAATTCCCAAGTGCTCTGGCCCAAATCTGTCCTGGTAGCTGTCAGCAGATCAATGCTCTACTAAGTACAGACCTGCTCTATTTCCGTGGGAAAATGGCTCTGTTAAACAGTTCATTTTGGGCCTTTCAGCAGTGGGACCACTAAATTTTGGTAGTTGTGTTTTTCTGTCTGTTGCAGCCTGATTTATAACTTTTAAATATCAGCTCAGATGAAGATTAAGCTTGCCTGAGCTCAGTTTTGGGAGGGAGACGGGAAAAGCATTCACAGCTTTTTAATTTCTCTCCCGCTCATCTCTCAAATGCCAGGTTTAAAGCCCTCATTTTGGTATCATTTCTCCTACAGTGCATGAGTGGAAAGCAGAGGAGAGGCCAAAGCCCAGTGTGCCCCTGGCATCCGATCCCCCAACATCCTGCCTTCATCTGACCCAGGTAGGTGACACGCAAGCTCGGTGTGTTGGTGTGTTACTGAGCATGACACTCACATGCCTCTGTCATGCTGAATCCAGGACTGAACTGGATTCACTGGCATGTGGTAAATATGCCTTTTCCCACCCCCTTAGTCCAGAGTTGCTTCTCAGCCCTCCTGGGGGTAAGGCAATGCTGCTTTGTGCTAGTATCTGGGGCAAGCAAGAAATGTTCAATCCGTCATGCCTGTACAAGGGAGTGTTTTACTGGGGGGAGAGGTATCTAAAATTATTATTTGAATGGTGGTACTGTTGAGAAAGGGCTTTGTGATGGGGTCACGTGGCTCTGCTTAGGTGGGTTTGCTTCAACTCGTGTTACGTCAGTGAGGGGCAAACACTGCCCTCATGGAGTGATCCAGCATGGACAGCCAGATGCTGCAACTTGGGAATGCTGGGCAAGAGTGGTTTCATCCTCCAGGAGAGGGCAGGCCAGAGGATCCCCAAAAAGTAATGTTTTTGGAGATGTCTCTATTACTGTTGCCCAGCTCCTGCACGCTCTCCACTGGCTCAGCCTCCTCCCAGTGCTCTTGCTGGGACAGTTAAAAGAGACAGGAGCAGGTTTTGGCTTGTGCTGTACATCCACATCCTCACCTGAACTCTGTGAGCTTGATGCAGGTAACGTGTGAGACAGCAAACATCAGAGCTGATGGGGTTGAGGCAATTTCCCTGGGTGTCAGTCCTTGAGAGAGAATAAAAAGGATCTCTCAGTGAAGAGCAGAATTTGGTTTCCTAATAAAAAAAATTAGGATGGTTCAAGCATCTTTCATATGCCAGAACTGAGGGGGGAGGAATTGTTGAAACTGGATGTTGTCTAAGGTGGTAGGAGATGGAGTGTGCTGGGATCGCTGCTTGGCAGGATTGGTGCCACTGGGAGCAAGGAGCACTTCTACCTGGGGGAGAGTGCAGGGGCTCACTTGGGGCTGCCCAGAGGCAGTGTCCCACACCTGGTTCAGAGAAAAGGTGATCAAAACAGTGAGGCAGAAGTGCCTTTCACCCTCAAATACATAATTTCCCCTTTCTGTTGTGTTCTTTGCTCAAAGCAAAGAGCAGGCTGCATAGGCTCGACCTGATGCATGCAAAAAAGGGACCTGTCCTTACCTTGCCTCCCATCCCTGCGTGAGAGGAGCCTGTGGGGAGGCATTTCCAGCTTCGCAGAGAGGTATTTCTGGCTTCTTGTTGCTGTTTCCCATTTTGTGATAAGCAGGAATGAGCCCAGACACCCGTCTCTTCCCTGCTCCCACAGGTGCTCTGTGTGGATTGGACTCTGGGAAAAGCTGTGCGAGAAGGATGCTTGGTCGCAGGAGCTCCCACTGTGCCAGGGCTGACAGAGCAAGTGGAGAGCCCATGGAAATAGCAGTTTTCTGTCAAAACACCTTTTCAACAGCAAGCCCTGAAGTGCGTTTATTCTTAGCGATCTTTTATTAAACCAAAATTCTGCTGGGAAATGATCCTGCTGGTTAAAGTCCTCCCTGAAAATACAAGTACTGAGAGCCATCTGGTCTGTGTTTGGAATCGTGTATTTTCTTCCAGAGTGCTATTTGGAAAAAAACTGAAGATTTTTTCCTAGGAACAGTATTTAGAAAAGGAGGTGGTTTTGTTTTTTTTCTTCTGCTTTTTCCTTTGAGACAAGAAGTTATTTCCTAGGGAATTGGAGGTAACAGAGTAGTGTAAAGTAAGACACACAGGTATCCCCAGAAATGCCAAGGCAGAGGAAAGAATTCCAAAGTTTATTTAGAAGGCCAGAACATGAGAAACTTAAAAATACCTCACAGTGCTTACTGAAGCACTGGGCCCCAGGGAGAAAAGGCAGGTTCCAGCCCTCTCCAGGGCCTCTTTTTCCTCTCTCTTTTTCCCCTGCCTTCCCGAGGCTCTGTATGTGTCCTGGAGGGAAGCGTGATGTGGTGCTGGGAGCAGGGATCTCAGCCTGAGCATCCAGTAGGCACATAAGCCCTCTCCCCAAGGAGCCTGCAAACCTTGGGGCTGGATGATGTGGTCAGAGGCTTTATTTAGTTCTGAGGCAGGGCTGAGCCTGAGTGGATTTTTAATGCATGAATTTTTAGTGTTTAAACTGAGCAGATCTTTGAACTGCTGTGGTTTCTGAGGGATGTTTCTCTTCCTCTCTGAATGTGTGTGCCATAAATGCTCCAAAAAAATCCTCCCTGTCCTCTCCAGTGTTGTTAGCTCTAGTGATGTGGACAGAAACTTGCAGGATGGTTTCCACTAAGACTCTGTGGAGTGGCTTGGAGTTTCCCCATTGAAAAGCAAGTTTTCAGCATCAAGGTTACTTCAAAAGGCTGGGGAGGGCAGGTCTCATGTAGGGGTGTCAGCAGTGTTGGGGCTGTCCCCAGGAAAGGTGCGAGGGACAGTGGGGACTCCAGGGCCACTCTTGTCTTCAGCTGGCCCAGATGCTGTGGTTAAACAGGGTGGCTGGAAGGGCTGAGAAAGAACCAGGCTGGAGGAAGGAATGTCACAGAGGGAGAGGTGTCTGTGGCCTCCTTTAGAAGGCCACTTTCTTCAGCTCAGCATTGCCAAGAAAAGCCCTGAATTTCTATTCCATGCCTTACCTGGTTTCTACCTGGCTCTCTGGGTTAAACCAGGTTTCTTTCCAAACATCTCACTCCGAGGGCTGACAAAACTATCGACAGATTTTTGGTTTCAAAAACATTAATTGTTAAAAATGTTAATTGTGCAAATGACTACCAAGCCAGGCAGGGAGCCAGGCTGCACCACCATAGGGTGGCACCACAAGTGCATCTGCTGGGCTGAGGGGCAAACCTGGGAGCCACCACCACGGTCCAGCAGCTCTGCAGAGCCGCATGATGGGATTTCACGCAGGGTGCCTTGATGTTCTAGGCTTTCCAGTACCTGTGAGCTTTCGTTGGGGCCACCAGGGACTATTTGTCACAGGAATCTGGGCCCTGTGTTAGTGAGATGCGGCGGCTTTTGAGGTTTTCCAGCAGTGGAACCAGATCTTCCCTGTCTTGGGATGGGAGATTGTACCATGCACATACAGCTTTGGGATGTCACATCAATGTTAACGACGGGGAAGAAGGGAGAGCAGAGCTGGGTGTGCGTGGCAGTTTGTTTCCTTAGGTTTATGCACTGATACTTTCTGCTTAATTGCACTCTGACATGCATCAAGGGGCAGTGAGGGGTTTTAAAAAAGCTTTTTTTTACCAAAAAAAAAAAAAAAATACGGTCCCTGAAATACTCAGGATGGGCTGACTGCTTTTTAAAAAACTGCTATAATTACGAGTGCAAGGCTTCCAGTTCTCCTGGTCTCATTGCACCTGGAGAGAGGCAGAAGGAGTGTTTGTCCTGCTTAGCACAGAGGGGCTGGGAGGTGATCACTGCATGGATCCTTGGAGATGGATGTGTTGGGAGTCAGAGGGCTTGTTCCCACGAATGGGAACGGGTGGTGGACTGAGGGCTTGGAAGGGAATGGAGGCAATTTAGTGATGTATTAGGGTGTACTCAGAACGATGAAAATGTCCCTGGTGCACCCCACAGCTCCCTCCTGAGTGTGTCCTGCCTCCCATGGCTGTGGGGAATCCAGAGGTGGGTCGGGGCCATGGGGAGCCCATGTCTTGCCTGTAGAGAGGGGCTGCTCCAGGAAGTGTCTCCCAAGACTGTCAGGCGTGATCCAAAATTAACATCTCATTCACTTGCTCTTAGCTCTGTTAGCTCTGCGAGGCTAATAGGGCTTAATAAAAAAGGCCTCTTGTCACCAAAATCAGCAAGGCTGACTCAGAACATGCAGAGGGAGCAGACTTGCTGATGGAGGCAATGTTGATGTTGCAAGCACTCACCCGGCCACAGCAGGGCCGTGGGACTTGCCCAGGAATCCCTGTCAGAGCCTCTGAGGGGTCCTTGGTTCCCATCTTGGTGGGTGAACCACTGGGTGAGGGGGATGAAGGCGTGAGCATCGAACCCAGCCAAGCTGTGGAGCGTTCCCAGTGCTGTGCCGTGTTCCACAATTAATCACTTCCACCCACACTACACCTTTCCCCTCCCCTAGATCCTCCCTCGCCTGGCTCTGGAGTGGGGAACGGAGGCAGCTCCAGTTTTATGAATCAATCAAAGACAATGCCTGCTTTGGAGAGCTGCTGATTTAGAGAGCCCTTTGCAAGCATGTGTGCAGTATGATTTCTTATCGTAGCACAGCTCTGGATGAGCCTGCCAAGAGGAGCTGTTCCAGCTCCTGGCCACATCCTGGGGAGATGGCCTGAGTGGTCCTTTCATCTGCAAATAAAACAAACAGGAACAAAGAAGGCAATAATATTGACTTTCATTATTGATATTTCCATTTATCTCAGTAATAATTAGTGTTTCTGTAGCTGGGAGGGTATAGCTCATAATCTCACTGTTTCAGGGGAGCCTATTAATGTCATCACCAAAACCAACCAGGCATAAAGCACTGGACAAGTGCCAAGGAGGGTGAGCAGGGTGGAGGGATGGGAATGGGGCAGGGCTGAACCTGGAGGAGAGGCAAGAGGGCTGTGAAGGGGGTGCATGGATGCTGCAGGGAGCAGTGGGGCAGCAGAGCTGGGGAAGGGAGACCACGAGCAGGGCCTGCTATGTCTGTGGTGGGCTGGGAGAGCTGATGAGCTTGGTAATGGGGCTCTTGGCTCCACTGTCAGCCAGCCCCTTGCTGCATCCTCTGGCACAGCCAGAGCACATCCTGCTTGTCAGTGTTTGGGAGGGAAAGGCAAGACTGGCACTTCGTGCAAGTGGCCTCTAGGGGTGGAGGATGCACTGAGATGCAGTCCCAGTGCCTTCCCCACGGCCTTCAAGCTGCGGCAGGAACCCCTTTATGTCACCAGCACATCAAGATATGTGGGAAACTAGGGCAGGTTCTTTTGTCTGTCCCTGCCTGCCCCAGGGCACTTGTGTCGTTTATGCAGGAGCTTCCCACAGCACCTAGCCTTGTTGTTTGCTGGCTCTTAATTAGTCATTCCCCATTCTCTTTTAAACCCCCTCGAGGTGCTCTCTGCAGGTGCCTTGTGCCTGGCCTGAATCTCCTCTGGGATCCCAGAGAAGGTGGGGCAGAGATTTCAGCACTGGTGCTGCTGCTCTCCGGTGTGAAAGCTCTGACGTGCAGTTGCTCTGTGAGTTATCCTGGGTCAGTCTGGAGGTCCATTTCCTGCATCTGTGTTTTCAATTGTCCTATTAAGTGTGCGTCCAGACCCCCCTGTGAGGGATGGTTTCCAGTGTGCAGCATCCCGAGCATTATCCATTCCACAGGAACCGCTGTCACAGCAGCTGCAGGGACAAGCGAGCAGCGAATGCAAATGCAGGGCAGTGTTTTTATTAGGATTTAAATGAGTTTAAGACTGTTCAGAATTACAATGTGATTCGAGCCAGAAGGGGCTTATAAAACTGGTATGAGTTCATATATTATACAGTAAATGTGCCAAAGCCCCTGGCTCGTGCTGAGCACCATCCTCAGTGAGGTGGAGAGAGGACCAGACGGCTGTCGGGGCTCAGCCCTGTTGCCCCAACCTGTCCCCATGGGGAAAGGCTGTCCGGGGTAGAAGGAGGGCTGGAGTCATGGAGGTTTTTATGGAGGAAAGCTGGTCCCTGTTAACAAACCTGAGCCTGTGGTGCAGTACAGGCTGGCAGGCGTGGTCTCGGGCTGAAACAGAGGGGTGCAGGGAGGGCTTGTGGATGTGTTTTGGGGCAGGGTTGCACTACTTCATCCATTTGTGCTCCCTACATAGCTCCAATGTGTGAAGGTGGCAGGGATGCTCCAGCACTGGAGGATGCTGCTTGTGAGAGAAGCAGCATGGCTGCACCTTCTTCCTCCCTGTGTAGTGAGCCATGGCTTCTCTGGGTGCTAGTGTAGCCTGTGGTGATCCTTCCTTCGACCAGACCCCACTCTGGGTTTCTGGGAGCAGCAAGCTTTCTCTAGTTGGTCTAGGATGTGCCAGCCTCAGCTTGCACCTCTCTGGAGACCTCACAGCACCTGGATGGCCTGCTGGTTGTACAGGCATCACTCATAAAGGCTTTAATGGCCATTAATGTAGTCTCTGGCTGTGCAGGGCTTGGTACGGAGATGGGTGATGTGACAGAGCTGTACCTGTGCACACAGGCACCCTGGGTCTGTGACACCTGGAAGCCACCGTGGTGGGGGTGATGGATTTCTCATCTGCTTTCTCAGACAGAACAGGAATGAAAGGGAAGTTTGAGCTATTGGCTTGGGATGTTCGTGCTTCGCCTCGTTTCAGTGCTGTGCTTTTGATCTCTGAAGGATACGGCTGAATATTTGAATGAGAAACCCGTGGTTGTGTTGAAATCCTAGACAAAATGCCTTTTGTGCCTCCCTGCCTGTTTATTTGCGTAAGAGAGTGTTTTGCTGGAGAAACACGCAAAGGAGCTTGAGGGAAAGGAGGGAAGGTGGAGGTGAGAGCACTGGGGAGCTCGCAGCACAGTTTCAGGACACTTAAGCGACTCTTACTGTCGGTGGCGAGACAGCGACATCAGAGGCAGTTCAGGCAATTGTCTGAGACAAATTGCTTCCTTTGATAGGCTTGTTGGTACCGCACTGGTTAAATTCCTGGGTTATATGTTTATTACTATATACAAAGAGCAGGAGAATTCCAGAAATACATACAACACACATCTCTGGATCTGTAGTTATCTCCCATAAATGACCTTGCAGCCATGAAATAATGTCACCGGTCCACGTGGTGCTTCTGAGCGGCTGGATGTTTGCTGTGTAGGTCTGGGGAGTGAGAGTGCCAGGCCACCCTTGGGGCTCCTCACACTGGGGAGCAGGGCTGGCATTGTTTGCCACAGGAGGGAGCATTCCCCTCGTTCCCAAAAAGAAAGGTTTCACTCGCTTCAGGAGGCGCTGAGGGAACAGCCTTTGACAGGTAACATGCTACTAAAGAAAGCCGCTTTCCCCAGAGAGGGAGAATTGCTGCTGGTGCCTGTGGGAGGGGTGAAAGTGGAGGTGTGACGGAGAGCAGCTCTGCTGCTTTGCCCTACTTGGAGGAGAGACAGCAAGGCAGGATGCAAAGGCACCCTGATAGAAAGACCCACTGGCGGCATCTCGGTGGTGCTGGAGTGGTTCAGCTCTCCTCTCCACAAAGAGCCCTGGCTTTGGCCAGCCCTGCTGTGCCATCCCCGTGGTGCAGATGCAGGGATGGGGCAGCCAGGACTGGGAGATGTGTGCTGCATCCAGCAGCCCAGATCAAAGGGACCTGGGCCTGCAACATCCACCAGAACACCTTTAATGCCCAGCTCTGGAGCGAGGAGATTTACCCAAGGGACTCATTTCCTTGCCTGAATGTAAAAAAACTGCATCAACCTGACATTCAGGAAACTTTAATACCTTTTTATTCGTTTAACAGTTTGGTTAATTGCAATGGCTTTTTGTTATTTTTATATACTTATTTTTAATTCATTCCAACTTTGTCCTTACATACTCTTTGTTCTTTAAAGCTGTTTCATGATGGGTATTTATTGCCTCTATTCTGGGTGGATGGGGACTGGAGGAGGGGTACCCCAGCTGCACCCATGTGCCAAAGCTGTCAGTAGCTCTGGTGACACCAGCCACTCTCAGCAGATCAAGACAAGATATAGAATTGTTTAGACTGGAAAATACCTCTAAGATCATTGAGTCCAACCACTAAGCCACCATTGCCAAGCCCACCACCAAACCATGTCCCTAAGTGCCACATCTACATGTCTTAAACAGTTCCAGGAATGGTGACTCCACGAATTCCCTGGACAGCCTGACAACGCTTTTGCTAAAGAAATTCTCCCTAATTTGCAATCTAAACATTCCCTGGTACAACTTTCCTCTCGTCCTATCAACCTTCACCTGTCAATAACCTCCTGTCAGGTAGCTGTAGAGAGAATAAGGTCCCCCCTGAGCCTCCTTTTCTCCAGGCTGAATCCCCCCAGCTCTGCCAGCTGCTCCTCATCAGACATGTGCTCCAGACCCTCCCCCAGTTCTGTTGCCCTTCTCTGAACATGTTCCAGCACCTCAATGCCTTTCTTGTACTGAGGGGCCCAAAACTGAACCCAGGATTCTGGGTGTGGCCTCACCAGTGCCCAGTACAGGGGCACAGTCATTGCCCTGATCCTTCTGGCCACGCTGTTGCAGAATCTCCTTCTTGTTCAGGTGGCTCTTGTTGAGAAAAGTGCACCTCCACCAGCACAGGGAGAATTTGCAGACTTGCCTCTGTTCTGCTGAATTGTTTGTTTGAAAGACACCCCCAAAAAAAGGAAAATGTCCCAGGGTTTCACTGTGCTGTTTTCTCTGTGAAGTAATTGCTGCTTTCCTTTGGAAAGAAAACTCTGATTGGAAAGTTTTTATTTTAAAGAACTGGGTTAATCCATGGAAATGCCCAGGTGTAAAGTGAAATGTCGCTGTGCTTGTCTATGTTTTAGATTCACCAGCATTTAGCAGAAAACGTCTTCTTCTCTTAAGCTAATTCTTACTGAATTGTCAAAAATATGGAAAAATAATAATTGCAATAATAATTACACTAGTGGTAACGTGCTTTTGCATCCTTGGCTCTTACCACAGCTGATTGTGCTCTTCCATTCCTCCTGTTCTGTGTCTTGGCTGTCTTTTCTTCACTCAGACCTTTCCCCAGGCACGGTGGGTCTCTACACAGCCTGCCACATGTGACCTCCTTGGATCCAAACTCACAGCAGCCCTGACCTTGTTGTGTACTGAAGTCACCAAGTCTTGCTGGAGCTGCCTGTGCCTGATATTATCCAGATAGATGAGCTTGAGTTTAAGCTCCCCTTTGTGTTGGGGAGCCCTATGGTGTTGATACCCCACAACCTTTAGCACTGGCCAGCTGAGCACCAGGTCCAAACCAGGCCATCAGGCTTCTCGTCACGTTCCTGGGCAGGGCACACTCTGCTTGTCTCCCTGTGGGATGTCATCCCACTGCCTAAATGGATGCTTTTAGGGCTGGGAGCAGTTTGCCATCCCTGTGCAATCTCAGCTTGCCCCGTACATGAGGCACCAGCGAGGAGCAGAGCTGGACAAAGACATCAAGAAGCTGTTACAGCTTGTGGGGGAGCTTATATAAAAGGATCCATTTTCATTCTGCTGCCTGTCTGCTTCAGTCAAAATACAATGCCGCAGCTAAGGACGTGTTGTGTCACAGCTGACCACAGAGAGCTAATGCATGGCTGCTGTGGTTGGTGCTCCATCTCCCTGCACCACAGCTGTCCTGAGCCCCCACCGCAGCCCCCAGGGCTGCCTTCATCCCCGGCCCCTGGGAGCCCGCAGCTCGCCCTGCTGTGAATCATGGCTCCTGCTGAATTGTAGCTCCCAGGAGTGCAAACCACAGTCCTGCTAGGCTCGTCTCCCAGCCCCAGGAACAGCTCTCTGGTGCTCTGCCTGCTCAGCCTGAGCAGCAACAGCCCCGGGAGCAGCACTCAGTCATGTCAGTACTCC